AGGATGAAAATGAAAACTGAAACCTGATTGTACATTTTGAAAGACATCACCAATCATATACGAAGATTACTGCTAAAAAGGAGTTTGAGGAAGAAAATATGCATTATCAACCTAACAGAGGCAAAAAAATGTATATATACTTTCATTTGTTTGGAAATAAAGCCTTTAAAATGCTTACACATATGTTAGTTTCAATTAACTTATTTGCATAATTCAATTTGAACATTTTATTACATAGTTTAAATAACTTAATCACTTAAATTACCAAGACGGTCTTCATGGAAAATGAATTTGAAAGCTAGTATTTTTAGCTCAAACTATATAAAATAATAGAAATGTTCTTCTAAGGAAGTAATAAACTTAAAAGCAATCTATTTATGAATTAGATACATTTTTAAGATAATGAAGGTACAGTTTTTTCCAGTATTTTGCTGATTGGAGGATTAAAAGTTTTCACTTTCATTTAACAATTGTGCAATAGGTACATGTATTTCGTTGTAATAATTACATGTATATTGCTCTGCAGAACATCTTTTTTCCTTTAAGGCAGTCCTTATTTAAAAAAAACAATACAAAGAGTGACACGACAGTGTGATATTCAGTGCTTTTTTTCTCTATTTACAAAATGTCGTTCAGTCAAACCTATTATCAGCTGTTACGAAGGGTGTATATTTCATCTTTTCATTTATAGTACTATAGTACTTGCATGTAACATGACAGTTTTGGGGAAAAATCTTGTTCAGTAATATGATATAAAAATTATCTTCTATATTTTAATTTATATGTAATTTTACGAGTTTCAATAGTTTTTAGCTTTCACGAAGAGCATTTTTACACTGACAAAAATAATATAAAGTCATTAAATTTACTTCCATACAATCACTACCTCAAAAGTAGTTTTACTAGGTATTGGGTAGATTTACTAGATAATGTTAGTAATCCTAAGAATTCATAAGTAACTTTCACTAGGTATCTAAGTTTTTAGACCATCACTCAACATTTCACTACCTTAGCTAGTACACAGAGTGATTACTAATCACGACGAATGCTTTACTAGGCACACTAGTTAAATCAACTAGGTAATTCTCTCAGTGTACTCAGTGAATTCTTTATGCCTTTCAACACATGTTCAATGTATATTTGATGTATATTTTTGAACATATTACATATCTTACGCAACTAAACATACTTTGCCAAAAAATTTCATATTAAATACATGTAACTGTCTTTATCGCTGACCTTTTTCTTAGAAATCATATTATGTCGACAAAATAGATTAAGAATGATTGGCAGTTTTTGTCATGTCTTTATTGATTAATATTCAAATCAATCATCAATACAATCAATAGTCAAAATCAATCATCAATACAATCAATAGTCAAATCAATCATCAATACAATGAATACAATAATGTACACAAGGTATCTCTACAATGATGTACATAAAGTATCAATTCAATGATGTACACAAAGTGTATATTGAATAATTAATACACAATGGGTACAATGATATTCAATCAATGATGTACGCAAAGTGTATACATGTATTTACACTATGGGTACAATGATATTCAATGATATGCAATGACATGCAATGTTATGCAATAATATGAAATGATATTCAATGATATACAATGACATTCAATGATAAATGAATTGCAATGAGCAGGTAGCAATGTATTACAAAGACAATGGTCTACGTCGACTTTATCAATAGTATATGACGTAGAATCAATAGCAATGGCACAATGACGGAAGCTCAATTATTGGCCACTAACCCTGGAAGATAACAGGATCAGCAGCGAGCTTCTAGCAAAATTCGATTCAGCATTCAAAAACAGCCTGTAAGAAGACCATATACTTTGCATTTCAATGAGACGTAAAAAAGCCATGACGCTAGCGGGTTCTTTTGGTAGCCAAGGGAACGGATGTTATGGATCCCATCACTGGTAGCCAATGGACCATCGCTGGTAGCCAAGGGAACGGAAGAAATGGATTCTTCTGCTTGTGGTCAAGGGAATGGATGTAATGGATTCTTCTGCTGGTGGCCAAAGGAATGGATGTAATGGATTCTTCTGCTGGTAGCCAAGAGAATGGATGTTGACTGAAAAAGGAAATCAAAGACAGCAGCAACATTTTGTTGACACAAACGAAAACTTCATCAAAATCTTGTAAATTGGGAGAGGTGGGTGGGATGCTGAGCTTCAATGGATGACGGAAGATGGAAAGGAAGAGCGAATGCACATGCCTAATGGATGTGGCTAAATGAAGTCAGTGCATTTGAGTGAGAGTTATCTTCCCTGAACTTTTTATCTCTATTTGTCTCCATAACGGGACTTAACTCATATTGAGTTAAGTCGGATTAAGAAAGGCTTGAAACAAAATTTTTCCCTTTTAGGGTTTTTTTATACACAAAATATTATACATTTATTGCATGATAGTGAGGGAAATATGAAGCCCTCGGGGAATATAAATTTACTTGGCTGAATAAGTCTTCATGTTTCCCGAACATTTATGCAATGAATTTTTTATTATACCGAAACAAGCAGAATCTTTGAAATAAACATAAACTTTCAAATTCGGCACCGCTCTCAAATTCACTTTAATTTTTTACGTAAAGTTACTGTAGGCTAACCCTTTTGTCATCACATTATTATCAATTTTGTGACGTAAACCAGGCTATTGTGACGTCTACTACATGCACTCTCGGGAGTTTTCTTTAAGCGATCGATAATTATTGCGGGAAAATGCACTAAGTACCCGAAGAGATGGAATATGATGAAAAGCATGCCGACTGCCGTGAAATATGAAGTTTTACGGCCTGATCACGTGAAAACCTAGAACCAATCAGATAACGTGTTGTGTAGAATATTTATAATGAGGTATAATAATATTGTTTATTACTCCATAAATTCTTTTTAATTTATAATTTTTAAAAAAATATGTTTAACACACCATTAATTATATTGTGCAATAACAAATTATAAACGCAATGCACATCTCATTTGTTAATTTATTAGCACAATTTACTAGCAGTCTTTAATTATTGTAGATATATATTTATAACATTTACTGTTATCAGTTGCTTTACCACTTTTTTCATGCCTCTGACTCGCTTTTCTTTTGAACATCAGGTTCGATACCATCTGACATCCTAGAACTTTCAATCAAGAGTGAGATCAGATATAAAAAGATTTTTTTGTGCAAATTTTGCTGTTTAATCAGTAACCACAACTTATTTCTTTTATTTCACTCAAGAATTGAAATATTAATCAAAATAGAATGACGTGCTTTAAAATTATTAAACGCTTGCTTGTTGTCAGTTTTATTTAAAAATGTATGTAATTTATATCTTCAAAACGGAACCACCACTGGGTTCTCGTTTTCGCTATTTCGAGGCTGTTAACCGAAAATGAAAGCACACTTTAAATCAAGTGTGAAATCTGAATATAGTTTCCGGACATCACATTATACCTAGTGTATTACTAGAGTACAAAATATGACCTTTGGTGTAAGCATTTTGAAGTTTATTTGCTTATTAAATATTTATAAGTGTAGATGTTTGACTTTACGTGAATTTTGTTGTGCAATAACAAATAAATTTGCTATATATGTTTTAAAATGTAAAATATTCCACCAGCTCCCCTTAGAACCTCACCATCATTTCCCATGACAACCAATTGAATTTTACAAATCGGTAGAAAACATGTATCTATAATATATACATATGCAATATACTAGTAATGCATTTCTGTATTGAAAACACCCCTTTTATGCGCAATGAGCATGCGCTTATATAATTATTCAGATGTTTCGTATAAGATGGACATGCCTCAATTCTATTTTCACAAATGATTTACACGGTAAATTGTATGATCGCAATGCTTACTTCGGGAGACATCTGATGAAAGAAAGCTTCCTGGTTGTAGAAACTATCCAATATGTTGAAATTGTTTGTATGTTTTCAAGTATACGTTGTATGGCTATTCATACCATTTATCAAAGGTAGGATTTATTCAATTTACTTTACTAATGATGTACAAAACTGGTTAAGGCAAATTAAAAATTAAATGAGACTTCCCAATATTTAAGTTATTTTTACGAAGGCGTTAACTGTTCAAAACCATGCTATACAAGTACACAATTTCTTCATGCCTGTCGCGAATTTGAGGATCTACAAAACTAGACAAAACAAAAATTTAGTTTTATAATTATTATAATTGCTAGAATTGGAACGCGTATGTAAGAGTAAGGTCAGGAAAATCATTTTTCCCCTTGATATTTAGAATAAAAAATTACTGTTGTCAAGAGATATTTATAAAATGTTTCTTTCTGTTTTTGCAAAATAGAATGTACCATTAGGGTAAATCAAATTTTACAACCAAAATAAGAAATAATTTAGCTAAATGAAAAAGGCGATCTCGAACGATCTATAATTAAAACAAATCTTTGGACAGAACGTAAACACGGACCCCTTGAAATTCCATAAATAGGGTCAGGTACGTGCTAACTTATAGGAGTCAATATAAGCATCGCTGTAGACCTGTTACACCCGCTGTAAGCCATATATGCATAGATAGGGTAAACGGAACATTTCGTTGCGAATTCGGTATATAAAAAAAAAACAAGGATCTAACAATAGGCATGAAACAGGTCACCTAAAATATGTTTAATTCTGCTTCAATACCTATTGACTACCAGAGTTTCATCCTTTTGAGAAATATAAATAAAGTAATTTCTATATACTTTATCTATATTACAATTTTTCATTTATTGTGAAGTGCTAGTTATCATAGAAAAAAGTATACAGATACAATAAGTTATAGACGCAAAGCATTTTAACCTTTTGCTCAGAACCCCTAAAACATTAAACTTTTTAATGATTTTTTGCTCTTGAAATTATGTTTTTGATTGTAAGCTTTCTCAAAGCTAATAAGATTGTAGTATTTTATAAAATGAAATTTACGTTCTATATTTGGAACTTTTTCAATGTCTCTTCAGAAATTTCTTGTTCGTTTTATATATATTCAACAATTCTGTAAAGTTGTACAGTATACTATAGAGAAATAAAGATCCATATACACGTAATCTACAAGCAAAAACGTAAACATAAACAAAAAACCTTACACATGAGAACAAAATCACGTACATCACATCGGTATTGAAATATATGTGCAGTTTTTGTTCTTTTCCTTTTATATTTTCATTTCCTTACGTAACTAGTGCAATATACGCTTCCTCTTTCTAAAACTTGCACTTAAGATTCACCCGAGACGGAGGGCGAAAGACATTTCTTTTAGTGTCATTCTCATCATTCTCATCATTCACCATCTAAGTTTTGTTCGAAATTTGACAAGTTGATAAATTCTGTTCTAGAGCAAGTTAAGATAATACTTCAACGTAAATTTACGAGGGCTGTTCAGTGAATAATGTCCTCGGTTCTCGGATATAAAAAAAACAAAAGACGCTTTTCAATGATTTAGTCTTAATGATTTAACTTAAATATTCTCTTTTAAATCATTTTTAATCAAAACACATGCCCTTAAAATTTTTAACCAATTTCTGATTGTTTTATAACTCATTTTAAGTATGCCCCCTTCGTATTCGTATACTGTAATATGGCAAATCCTATGATTTCCTGGATTTGTGTCTTCTTTCTGAAAGGTGTTTTTTTTCAGTTTGGAAAATGAATCAAGTAAAAGGCTGACAGAACAGGCGAATTTTTGGTGTAACAAAACATTAAGTTTCTGTTTATACATAAAACACATTTACTCTACAGGGAATGTGGGTTTGGACGCTGTCATGAAGAAATTTAATATAGTGGATTCCTGATTCTGGTTCCTTCCTCTCATAAACCTTTCAATTTTTTTTTTTTTTGCAAAAAGTTTGCTTTCTGGCCTCCTCCAGAAATTAAACTGCCTCACCGAATAAGAATTTGAACAAAAAGACCACTATTATTTATGAAAATGATAGATAATCTGTCTTTGTCCTCTTGCAATTCTTTGCACATTTTATACCTTTGCTGCTTTTTGTCAAATGCATCTTGTAAATTTGTTTTGAGGGTTTAAAGCAGTGGATTCACGTTTCCTTATGTGTTTGAATTTAAGACAAAGCTAGGTGGATAACTACAATTTCTAATTTTTAAAAAAAAAAAATAATTGTTTAGGTATTCTTACACGTTGTTGTTTTCACTCATTTTTGAAAACATAGGGTGATCATTGAATACTGAGCTTTTTACTGTAAAGTGTTTTTTAAATAGGGTGAACTACCCCGAAACTGATGTTTATCAAATGTGCTATGTGTCTGAAAGTCATCATAATTGATAATTTGTTGAATTTTGTCAAATAGAACATTTGTTATTGTACGTCCTTGTAGCCGAGGACGGTACCATTTTTGATGCCCATTATATCATAATTGTTCATTGAAATCCACCTGCCCAGGTGTCTATAAAACAGACATTGGTTGCTTTAAATTTCACAAATCGCAGTGAATCTTTTTCTGAGATTCTCAACAAAATTTACAGCAGCTTTAATGAAGCGTCTAATTTCACTCAAATTTACTTATTCTTCACCATTTATTTTTAATGCAGTGTCTCGAACAGCCATTGTCTTCCAGCTTCTCACAATGAAAATATGAGATGAAAAGTGGCCAAATAAATTGATATGAATTCATTAAAGATTCAATCATGCGAGAAAGTCTAGCTTAATATCATATGATTTCTATGTTGTATGTCACAGAGTTCAGTACATTATTTATTGAACAGCCCTCGCATAAAGTGCAAACATAATTCTAGAATTACTTTAAAGAACTTTATAATAGAATATAGTTTTGATGAACATAAGTGAAGAACAATGAATATTAAAAGGTAATTGAAATCAACACATTTATATTAGGTCATCTTTAATGTTTGCTAGCCCTCTTTTGACTAAGGGGGGAATTATTGGATTGGTAGGTTGGTGTAAATATTTTTCTCTGACAAAATTTCAACATATTTGTTGACGGAATAAGAGGAATTAAAAAAAAAAATATACAGACCTATAAAAACATCAGAATGGGATCAGATGCCACTGCTGAGTAAATATCACATGTCGACCGATCAAACCTACCACATGTGCTTCTTGACATGATTTGAAAATTGGCAAAAAAATCCTGTATCAATTCAAGCTGTAAATAATGGCTGACTATGAGAACAAGTATTAAAACGGCTATGAGCATTTGACTTATTGAGAGATTTTATTGCGACAAGGTCATAGTATCGACAATGTTTACTATATACGATAGTAAGATACATAAGATAACCATGGTTCGTGTATTTTTGCTTCTCTGTAAAAGCTATTCTTAGAAATATAGAAACAAGTTGACTAATAAAAGAATAAACTTTGTGTCCATCAGTTTATATCATCAAAAGACTACGTTCATGTTTTTATGAAAAGCTAAAACATCAATAATTCGCAGTTCCAGACTGAAGGTTTTTTTTTTTTTAATAATAACTTTTCGGATAAATTCTGCTTCACATGAATACAAACAAAGGTTTTCTACTTAGAACAATATCCTGGGATATAAAGAACAAATTGAAAGATTTTTTCTTTAGCAACAAAATTTTTCTGATTATAAAAAATATTTATAAGATTTAAGATGAAAGCACCGAAGTACTAGTAATATTTTTATTATCTCAAACTTCAGTGCTAATAATTGACCCTCTCATTTCATTTAATCAGTCGTATGTAACAATGCCTGAAAGAATATGTTACAATTCTCTGTCATCCTTGGACTTTTAGAGTGGCGGGGCGTTCTTGGCGCTACATAATTAGCGTCTGTCAAATGGCGAATAGATTCTCATTAGTTACGAAATTAATAACAACAGGAAATTCAAATTGTTGTTGACAACAATGAGACGACTTCAACCCCACCTCTTTGCCGTACGAGACGCTGTTATTGGATATTAACTTCACTTGTTGATATTCACCCGAATCTATCCTATGTTCATGTACAGTGTATATTTCAACTGTGAATGAAATATGTGTAAATTTCAGACGCTAATTATGTGACGTCGAGAATACCACGCCTTACTGAATGTTTAAGGATAACAGAGCATTGTACGAATAAATTGCTTAAATGGATTTGATGAGATGCAGATAAACAGCCAGTTTATTAAACTGTCAATTAAAATGCCCGTTTGTCATGTAGCGTATATATGGTACAGAAATTATTTCCCGTTTTTTAATTTTTAAATTAGGGGAGTGCGTGTCAAAAGGAGACATTGTTTTTCTACTAGACGAGTCCGGCAGTATTGGATCTTTGAACTTCGAAAGGATCAAGTCATTTGTCAGCTCCGTCGTCGGTCAATTCAAAGTTGGAAGTAACGCCAATCAATTCAGCGTAGTTAATTTTGCGTCCTCTTCTAGAGAGATATTTCCACTCAACAGATATCACACAGTAACGGATATTCAATCAGCAATATCTTCCATTCCATTCAAAAATGGGGGAACAAGCATAGGACGTGCCCTTGATTATGCCCGGCTGTACTCCTTTAGTTCCGCCAGAGGAGCAAGAAATGATTCAGCAAAAGTTGCTGTTCTAATCACCGATGGACAAAGCTCCATTTCCAAACAGCCCGACAAACTTAAAGCCATGGGGGTTACGATATTTTGTGTCGGGGTAGGAACTGGAATAAATTCAATTGTTCTGAGATCTGTTGCCACACATAACGACTACACGTATCTGACAACGTTTGATTTGTTGCCTTTGTTAACGAACGAATTGTCCAACGAAACCTGTGGAGAAGGTGAGAAACATTTCCGCTTCTATATAACAATTTTTCTTAGCTGAAAATTGGTTTAACTTTTATGATGACTTGAGTACTAGTAATTCAATCTTTAAGAACATGAATTTCAAAAAGGTATGTTTATGAAAGATGAACTAGAGAACTAAAATTATAATAACTAGAATTAAAAATTAAATCTATATATATATATATATATATATATATATATATATATATATATATATATATATATATATATATATATATATATATATATATATTTCATTACAACATGTATTGGTAACAATCCTCGGTTAAAACTAATGTCCAAATAACTGTATCTCACTTCTATTCTCAATGACCGTGTAGTGTAGGACAGCGCCGCGAGAATTCCATCGGCATCGAAAGCAAGTTTTTTGACTTGCCTAGATAGCCGAGCGGTATAGCGCGCTGTTACTGCACTGCTAGGAGACAGATTCCGAAGGTCGAGAGTTCAACCCCGGGCTGGGGCGGAAGTGGGTATCCATGTAAAAGTGAATTTCTTTGTGCTTTCTATATTAATATTTCTTCACTTAGGGCAGTTATATTAGTTTAAGAGTTGTTGTAAAATGTGCTTTATAAATAATAATCAATTTCATTACAACATGTATTGGTAACAATCCTCGGTTAAAACTAATGTCCAAATAACTGTATCTCACTTCTATTCTCAATGACCGTGTAGTGTAGGACAGCGCCGCGAGAATTCCATCGGCATCGAAAGCAAGTTTTTTTGACTTGCCTAGATAGCCGAGCGGTCTAGCGCGCTGTTCCAGCACTGCTAGGAGACAGATTCCGAAGGTCGAGAGTTCAACCCCGGGCTGGGGCGGAAGTGGGTATCCATGTAAAAGTGAATTTCTTTGTGCTTTCTATATATATATATATATATATATATATATATATATATATATATATATATATATATGACTCCAAAGTGCGATGGGACTCCAAAGTCCGATGGTTACGCCAAAGTCCGATGGTCTGCGTAAAACCCCGATGGTTTGATACGCCAAAGTCCAATGGCACAGAACACAATTAACGTCTATGACGTCATAGTACTACCGCGTAAGAATTCGATGCCACGACATGCCAATAAATAAAGACAAAATATCATAAATACAAAGACTAACCCTCGTCTTTTGGATGTAGGTGCGAAACTAAGACTTATCAGTCGAATAATGAGTATCAGCTCTAACTTAACTATCATAGGTGGGTGCAGGACTAATCTAAATCAGCCCAATAGTGTGCGAGGACTAACCCTAAAATCTCTCGGGTGGGTTCGAAGAAGCACCTTACTGTTCAATGACTAGACCTTATCACTCCAATGGTGTACGAGGACTAACCCTAATACCTCTTGTGGGTGAAAACAAAAAGCAATATCCGTAAAAACGAATGTGAGACGAATACTGAATCAATTAATTTTGAATGCAGAATAACGTCATGACGTCGGACTATTGTGACGTCATAAACGTTAATTGTTCCTCCCCAACATCCGACTTTGGCGTGTCAGACCATCGCACTTTAGCGTCGCGCGTCTCATAGGAAACGAGCCATCGGACTTTGGCGTGACCATCGGACATTGGCGTCCGTAAAGACAACGAGCCATCGGGGTTTGGCGCAGACCATCGGGGTTTGGCGAGACCATCTGACTTTGGCGTCACCATCGGACTTTGGAGTCTTACATATATATATATATATATATATATATATATATATATATATATATTGTATTATGCCAATTTTCTTGTAGACATAAACGATTGCCTAGGTGAACCTTGTCTTAATGGGTGGGACATGCGAGGATCAGTTCGGGAAGTATCTTTGTCACTGTCTGAACGGAAATACAGACCCTAACTGCTATGTTCTGGGTAAGATCAAAGTAGGGTTACAAACGTTTTACAACTAAAACCTGTTCTAAAACCGTTAATATTGACGGTACCCCTATCAAACTGATGATCTCCAGAGAAGAAGAGAAGGAGAATCAAGGCTGTGACAGATGCATGAAGGAGACATTGTGGATAATGAAAAAAATATTCATTTTGGGGATGAGGGATGGGGGTTATCGTCATATGAGTTTCGATAACAAAATCAAATGGGATTTTGGTTATATTTCATTCGTTTTGTTACTTTTTATTCACTTTGAGTTTTTCAAAGAAGAAAAGCACATGTATATGCCAAATGAGTTTTTTCAATGTAGGATTTGCGCACATCTTTATTTATATAGGTTTACCGAATGTAACAATAGGATCCAGTCTAGCAGTATATATTGGATCATCTGCAATACTGCATTGTTACGTTACAAGCACGACAAATATATCTTCTGTTACATGGCATTACCAGAAAAAAGGCGTCACAACCACTATCAACACTGGCATTGCAACTAAATATAGCGGCAGCACTGTGTGGACACCGTCTCTTACCGTTAAAAACGTTCAGATTGAAGATATAGGAAACTATAGATGTTTGGCTGAAACCTCAGCAGGCATAGGCCAAAGTGCAAAAATGATCTTTCTAGATTTAAAGCGAGGTATGTATCATGAATTTACAGTGAGATACATTTGTCTTTTTGTAAGTAAACAATGTTCATTGTCTCATATATATCAGATAATAATATGCATGTTTAACAAGATAGAACGCGGGAACGGAATTTTTTTTGTCACATTGCATACAGTAAAAAATGTATAATATTAATTCAGTGCAATCTTAAAGTGTAACTTAAAGATACAAATTTGTATTTCTATAAAATGATTAAGATATTTATCTAAGGTTTCCCCGTGATTTACCTGCAAAGAACAAAGTACGCTGTCAACGCTAGCGAGAGCGTGTCCCTGTCTTGCAATTTTTCCTCCAGTTACCCTCCCGTTGTTGAAGTTAATTGGTACAAAGATGGAGTACCAATCAATCCAATCCCTAATGGAAAATACTCAGGCGGAACAATATATTCTCCAAACCTCAACATAACCAATTTCCAGGAAGAAGACCAGGGTTACTACCACTATTCTGTGTCTAACCAATATGGAACCAGGAATAGCTCGAACATTGCCGTGTACTTATTTGGAGGTACGCATAAGCCATAATAGATGTCATATACTTAGATTAATATTTTTCCTTCATAATTTTCCTGAAATATAATACTACATGTAGTACTTTTAAAATTAATATGACAAGATTTTTCTTAAATTGCTAATTTTCCGATTAAGCAGCTAAAGTACAAATTTACCACATGATGATTTTATATTTTTAAGTTTTTAGCAATTAATAAAACATAATGTAGGCATAAAAAAAATGTATGATTTGAATTGGATTGATTCCCGCTATACCATTTTTTTCATTTGAAGATGTACCAGCAGTACTAGTGGAATCAAATATCACTTCCGACTTTAGGGACACTGTTATAATCCTTTGTAAAGTATTTGGTTCCGGTGTCAGTAGAGTTTACTGGACATTGCAACTCCAGGGCCAAAAAAGTGAAACAGAAATAGTTCTATCCTCCTCAAAATATTATGGTTCAACTATCTATGACCCATCTTTGGCAATTTTCAAGTTTAGCTCATCAGACATTGGTAACTACAGATGTTATGCAAACAGTAGTAACGGTGTTGGATACAGTAGACCAGTCAATGTCAAAATACGTGATGGTAAGTTATGTTATACAGAGAGTATAAAATAAGGGAAATTATAGAAACAGTTCAATTCGGGACATGAAAATTTTGACTAAAAGTTGCTTTTTCTTTTTACCCAAACTTCGTTACATTGGTATAGTTGTTTGAACTACTGCAATTTTTAATCGCACAATATATTAATTATATTAATTCAAATGAAAATAAATTTTATTCTTTTTCAAACAAATAAGTACATTATTGTAAATTGTAAATTCTTAAGATTAAGAGCTTTCCAAGAAATTTTTAAGAGCAAAAAGGGGAATATTTGGTATTTTAAATGTACACATTCATGCATGTCTGACAATACCTGTATTTATTACATGTATATATGGACAAATGATCAAAAAGATGTTCAACAATTTTCTTTTATCAAACAAATTCACAAAATTAATTATGGTACATATATATTTTGTAATATTGAATTACGTCAATTAAATGTTTAACAGATTATTTATGCTTTAAGGGCGTTACGTTGTTCTGAACACAGCAAGGTACACTGTCAACAAGAGTGAAGACGTCACACTTTCCGTATTTGTTTATGCCAATCCGAAGCTTTTAAGTTTGTCGTGGCAGAGAAGTTCTTATTCCTACTACTACTACTACTACTACTTTAATGACTTGAATACAACACCAAATGACAAATATGATGGTGGAACACTAGACTTTCCGTCTCTCGTCATTCGTAACGTCAGCACGGAGGATAAAGGATATTACCGTCTAAACGTGTCCAACGCTGACGGCACATCTATAAGTTCGAGCATTTACATAAATGTTATTGTCCGTAAGTTAAACCTTCAAGGTTATTTTTGTTTATTTCTGTGAAATTTTGAAATAAAAAAAAATCTTTGAAATATGTAATCTTAAAGTGAAAATGTTTTTATATAGGCTTACCTACTATATTAACGGGTCGGAGATACTTTTACAACATCTATACGGAAACTAATCTCACATTTGAGGTTAACATCACATCCGAGTTACCCATGGTTTCTGTGAGTTGGGAGAAACGGAGCGCCTCCTACCCATACACATATACCTTGATTGATGTAACGGATAGCAGATTTTCTGGCGGAACGATGAATGTCCCTTCACTGACGATAAACAGTGTCCGTGGGGTAGATGCTGGATATTTTAGGTTTAACGCAACAAATGAAGATGGAACGAGAAGCAGGACGTTTTATTTACAAATTAATCTCCGTAAGTTTACTGTCCATTCTTATTATTTTTATTCCTTCTCTGTAAACTTTATATATTTCACTCAGAAAAAAAATACAAAAGTGAATGTAACAGAGTATAGATTTCTGTTTTTGCTATAACGTTGTTTGTTTTAAAAACGTTATTTTTCTAAAGGTTGTCAATTCCTATTAGAACGAGGAAACATCCTGTACTCAACGAATTCTGTACTCGATTAATACTGGAGTGAGGAAATTCTCCATTATCTCTGAAGACACATACATGTATTTCTGATTTTGAACTCGTTATTTTTTTCTCAGGTTTGCCTTCAATCTCTTTAGGAAAGAGAAGCGTTTACGTATATTCTGGTGAAAATGTGACTTTTGAAGTCAATGTCACATCATTGTCCACTTTAATATCGGTAAGATGGGAAAAGCGAAATTTCTCCTATCCGGACAATTACTACCAACTAAATACGAGCAGTAACAAAAGATTCGATGGTGGCAAAATAGGATCCCCTAATTTATTTATCAAAAAAGCTTTAGTTCAAGACAAGGGATATTACAGGATTGCAGTAGAAAACAGTGACGGTGTTAGATATAGCTCTCGTATTTATTTATCTGTCAGACCCAGTAAGTATGCATCTCTAGACCTATCTTTCTTTCATATGAAGTATTGAACTCGTTTGTGTGGTTCTTTACTTTTTAAACCAAAGACTTTCTTGTTTTGATTTCAAGGTTTGATTTTGACTGTATATCTTTTTGTAAAAATGATCTTTTTAGATTTAAAGCGAGGTAATTATAATAGATTCCCATGTACACATACATTCATGTTAGTCTTTTTGTAAGTGAACAATATTCATTGTCTCATATATATATATATATATATATATATATATATATATATATATATATATATATATATATATATATACACATACACACAGACACACACACACACACACAATGTATATCAGACAATAATAAGCATGTTTAACAAATTAGAGCGCAGGAACAGAATTTTTTTTATCTTATTGCATTTAATAAAGAATTAAGAAATCCAATGCAATCTTACAGCGTAACTTAGAGAAACAAATTTATATTTCAATGTAATTATTAAGGGATTTATCTAAGGTTTCCCTGTGATTTACCTGCAAAGAACAAAGTACGCTGTCAACGCTAGCGAGAGCGTGTCCCTGTCTTGCAAATTTTCCTCCAGTTACCCTCCCGTTGTTGAGGTTAATTGGTACATAGATGGCGTACCAATCAATCCAATACCTAATGGAAAATACTCAGGCGGAACAATATATTCTCCAAACCTCAACATAACCAATTTCCAGGAAGAAGACCAGGGTTACTACCACTGTTCTGTGTCTAACCAATATGGAACCAGGAATAGCTCGAACATTGCCGTGTACTTATTTGGAGGTACGCATAAGCCATTACGTCTTGAAATATTTTACATATATAATACGCGTACTTTGAAAATTAATATGACAAGAGTTTTCTTAAATTGCTAATTTTCTGATTTAGCAGCTTTGATACAAATTTTCCATATGATGATTATATATTTTTAAGTTTTTACAATTTGAAAAACATGATGTAGGCATATAAGAAAAAAATGTATAATTTGAATTTGATTGATTCTCGCTATGTCAATTTTTATTTGAAGATGTACCAGCAGTACTAGCGGGATCAAATATCACTACTGGCTTTAGGTACACTGTTTCAATCCTTTGCAAAGTATTTGGCTCCGGTATCAGTAGAGTTTTCTGGACCTTGCAACTTAAGGGCCAGAAAAATGAAACAGAAATATATGTGTCCTCCTCTAAATATTATGGTTCCACTATATATTACCCATCTTTGAGAATTTACAAGTTTAGCTCATCAGACGTTGGCAAATACAGATGTAATGCAAACAGTTCAAACGGTGTTGGTTACAGTAGACCAGTCAATGTCAAAATACGTGATGGTAAGTTCTATGTTATACTATCTCTCTCTCTCGTTCATGGAGTAGGCCAAATACATACATGTAGTTTTAGAAGATAATGGAAAATATTGAAACAGTTCAATTCGGGCCATAAAATTTTAACTTAAAGTTATGCTTATTACTTTAACCCAGACTTCGTTACCAGGGTATTTATTACATGTATATAAATACAAATGTTTAAAAGAGGTTCCACAATTTTCTTTAATAGATAACTAAGGAATATTTTGTAATAATTAATGGCGTCAATCAAATTATAATAGATTTCTTTTGCTTTAAGGGTGTTACGTTGCCCTGAACTCAACAAGATACATTGTAAACAAGAGTGAAGACGTCACACTTTCCGTATTTGTTTATGCCAATCCGAAGCTTTTAAGTTTGTCGTGGCAGAGAAGTTCTTATTCCTACTACTACTACTACTACTACTTTAATGACTTGAATACATCAAATGCCAAATACGATGGTGGGACACTAGACTCTCCGTCTCTTATCATTCGTAACGTCAGCACGGAGGATAAAGGATATTACCGTCTAAACGTGTCCAACGCTGACGGCACAACTATAAGTTCGAACATTTACGTATATGTTATTCTCCGTAAGTTAAACCTTCAAGGTTATTTTTGTTTATTTCTGTGAAATTTTGAAATAAAAAATCTTTTAAATATGTAATCTTAAAGCGAAACTGTTTTTATAGGCTTACCTACTATATTAACGGGGCAGAGAAACTTTTACAACATCTATTCGGAAACTAATCTCACATTTGAGGTTATCGTCACATCCGAGTTACCCATGGTTTCTGTAAGTTGGGAGAAACGCAGCGCCTCCTACCCATACACATATACCTTGATTGATGTAACGGATAGCAGATTCTCTGGGGGATTGATCAATGACCCCTCACTGACTTTTAACAGTGTCCGTAGGGTAGATGCTGGATATTTTAGGTTCAACGCAACAAATGAAGATGGAACAAGAAGCAGGACGTTTTATTTACGTATTAATCTCCGTAGGTTTACAGTCCATTGTTATTATTTTTATTCCTTCTCCGTAAACTTATATTTCATTCGAATAAAACTATGACACAGAGTATAGTTTTTTCCTATTATAATGTTGTTGGTTTTGGAAACGTTATTTTTCGGAACGTTTGTCCTCAAAAGTTTTCAATTCCTATTAGGACGAGGAAAAACCCTGTACTCTATGAATTCTGTAGGATTAATATTGGAATTTAGAAATTCTCCTATATCTCTGAAGAGAATACATGTATTTATGATTTTGAATCCATTATTTTTTAGGTTTGCCTTCAATCTCTTTAGGAGCGAGAAGCGTTTACGTTTATTCTGGTGAAAATGTGACCTTTGAAGTCAATATCAAATCATTGTCCACCTTATTATCGGTAAGATGGGAAAAGCGAAATTTCTCCTATCCGTACAGTTACTACCAACTAAATACGACCAGTGACAAAAGATTCGATGGTGGCACAATAGGATCCCCTAATTTATTTATCAAAAAAGCTTTAGTTCGAGACAAGGGATATTACAGGATTGCAGTAGAAAACAGCGACGGTGTTAGATATAGCTCTCGCATTTATTTATTTGTCAGACCCAGTAAGTATGCATCTCTATACCTATCTTTCTTTCATATGAAGTATTGAACTCTTTTATGCACTTCTTTACTTTTTAAACCAAAGACTTTCTTGTTTTGATTTCAAAGTTTGATTTTGACGGTATATCTTTTTGTATATATGTTTAGTGAAGTTAAAAATTTTTGAAACATTGAAAACTTTAATATCTACGCAAGTGAATGACACAGAGTATAGTTTTTTTTTTGCTATTATAATATTGTTAGTTTTAGAAACTTTTTTTTTCTTAACGTTTGTCCTCAAAAGTTTTCAGTTCCTATTATGACGAGGAAATAGCCTGTACTCGATGAATTCTGTAGGATTTATATTGGAATTTAGAAATTCTCCTATATCTCTGAAGAGATTGATTGATTGATTGTTTACTGTTTAACGTCCCTCTCCAGAATATTTCACTGATATGGAGACGCACCATTGCCGGTGAAGGGCTGCAAATTTAGGCCTATGCTCGGCACTCACGGCCTTTGAGCAGGGAGGAATCTTTATCGTGCCACACCTGCTGTGACACGGGGCTTCGGTTTATACGGTCTCATCCGAATGACCGCCCCATTTAGTCGCCTTTTACGACAAGCAAGGGGGTACTGAGGACCTATTCTAACCCGGATCCCCACGGGGATCTCTGAAGAGAATACGTGTATTTATGATTTTCAATCCGTTATTTTTTAGGTTTGCCTTCAATCTCTTTAGGAGCGAGAAGCGTTTACGTTTATTCTGGTGAAAATGTGACCTTTGAAGTCAATATCAAATCATTGTCCACCTTATTATCGGTAAGATGGGAAAAGCGAAATTTCTCCTATCCGTACAATTACTACCAACTAAATACGACCAGTGACAATAGATTTGATGGTGGCAAAATAGGATCCCCTAATTTATTTATCAAAAAAGCTTTAGTTCAAGACAAGGGATATTACAGGATTGCAGTAGAAAACATCGACGGTGTTAGATATAGCTCTCGTATTTATTTATCTGTCAGACCCAGTAAGTATGCATCTCTATACCTATCTTTCTTTTATTTCATGAAATGAACTCATTTGTGCTGTTCTTTACTTTTTGAACCAAAGACTGTCTTGTTCCTATTTCAAAGTTTGATTTTGACTATATATCTTCTTACATATATATATTAAGCAAAGTTTTAAAAAATTTCAAATACAGCATGTTTTCACTTGAACAACTTTATAAATTTAGTTTTAATTAATTTAAAATCCTACTCAAAATCTTGATATTTTTTGTGAAGAGGGGTACAGAATATTTGTCTTAATACACATATATATTAATAAGGAATGTATTGGATAATTAATTGCCAAAATAAAGATGCAAAAAATCTTGATAAATGAAAAGTAGATTGTAAAGTAAGGAATATAAATCCGTGTCATGAATTTCCGTGATTGACGGAAAATGTTAATTTTAATTCAGGTCCGCCATCCATTACCACAAAGTCAATTTATAGGGTCTATGCCGATGAAAACATCACTCTTCAAACAAATGTCTCATCCTTCCTCCCAGTCACTAGTGTTACCTGGGAAAAAAGAAACACCAGCACATACCTTTACGAAGTTCTCAACATACTCTCCGATAATCGTTATACTGGTGGAGATATTCTTTCACCATCACTAACAATTATACATGTGAATCTGATGGATGAAACTTATTATCGTGTTAGAGCTACGAACGACGATGGAACAACAATGAAAATTGTTTATGTTGATATCAACATACGTAGTAATTATATTTTCATGATACATTTGTACTAATTTAAGAACCACAGAATTAAATTCAGACGACACGTTCCTCAAATATATATTAACATTTATCAAAATTTGTGAATGAAATAGTGCAACTTTAAGAAGTTTTCTCACCAAAAATATACAATTCATTTTCAGGCATTTTTGCAAGTTAGAAAAGCATATTACTGGAAATCATTTGAAATTTTTGTTTTTAAATTTTAATGCATTACTAGAAAAAGTTGAAAAATAAAAAGATAATGAAAATTTTGAAAGATGTTGGATATATTACAAAGAAATGCAAAAAAAAACAGGCAGGAACGTGTCCCCATACCTTGAAAATTTAAGATGAAAATTAAAGTAATGTATCAATTATACTTCCCATATTATAATGATGGATATACTTATAATTAAAAGTGATTCGAACAGATCTGGAAGAAAACTCAAATGTTGAAAGTTGATAATATAGTTATATTAGTTAATTTTTATTAAATATATGTTAAGCACGTTCAAATGAAATTAAAATTATCTGATGCAGGCCATCCAATTATCGCAGAAGGTACGACATCATTAGAAACATGGATGTGGGCTAATATTACACTTGATATATACGTTACGTCAAGGCTACCAATACTGGAGGTGTTATGGGAACATAGAATGAACCAACATCCGAAAACCTACATGTATGTGCCACTCAATATTACATCGGGTTCGAGGTACTCTGGAGGAACAATATCCTCTCCATCTCTGACAATATACAACGTCACAAGTGCTGACAACGGGTTCTATAGATGTGCAGTGAGCAATCGCGATGGAACAACAAAGAGCTCCTCCTTTCAAATAGCTATTGAAACCAGTAAGCTTATTAATGATTGAATAATGTTGTCTCAGACTATCTATTTATTTCTACACCAATCAAAAAAACTTCTGTTTAAGGTTTTATCTGCTTGTACATACAAAATACCCAGCACAACTAAAAAAACACCAGGATGGCAACGTGTTTGGGGGGGGGGGACTTAAACAAATAGCTCTGGGTTTGGTCGGCAAAATTTCGCGACTAATTCAGTGTCCGGAGTGTTTGTTCTATTTATTCAAGTTTAAAAATCCAATCTGCTTGACAATACGGGCCGTGCATGGCCCTTTTTCCACCTTGTCAGGCCATCCTGGACTCCATTCCACTAAACCGAAAGTGAACCACGCAGTGTATAGTTGACGTCTTCAAAAGCATGTTCATATAAAATGAAATAAATAATTGTTCAACGAAATTTGATTCAGTTATTTTAAATACATTTAAGAGAACTTCAAAAAAGTTATCAATTCTTTTTCTATATACCTATATTTCTCGTACGCGAATAAAAGTTGGTTTACTGTAAACACTCAATTACAAACTTATGCCAAAATATATGTATCATTTTCCATTGAAAATGTTTTTACAGATCTTCCTGTGATATCAGTTGGAAAAACATCACTCACAGTCAAAACGAGGTCTTGCACTGTACTGAACATTAGTTACAATTCTGGACCGGAAGTGAGTTCAATAAGCTGGGAGAAAAGAAACACTACCAACGCCGATACATTTGTTTCAGTAAATATATCTGAAAATGATCGATACGAAGGCGGTACTTTCGATAAACCCTATTTAGAGATTGCTAATGCAATGCTAGAAGACAGTGGTTATTATAGATGTAATGTGGTCAACACCAATGGAAAGTCAACATCTCCTTTATTTCACGTCAATGTCCAAAAACGTAACTATTGGCTAATCTGGTTAAATATATAAATCAGACAATATTTGGTATTATTTTCCATATTAAGTGTTTAATACAATCTCTTTGTTGTAATTATGATAATTAAAGGAATAACCGGTAATTTTTCCTATGAACAACTATTTGATAAATTTCCAACTTACAAATATACCTTGATAAGTTCAATTATAAGCGGTTTTGTTACCTTTAGAATGACTTGACAAATCAAATGTAAAAAAAAAAGTAAAGTACTAGATGTTCAGTATACAGTATATTTTGTTTTGTTTTTTTAATTAACCCATTTTCTTATATTTTTTCCTATACATGTTCTTTATTTTAAACATGATGAAAATTTAATTTCCAGAACTTGCTGCTATAAATGTATCTTTCACCTCATACACAGTAAGTCACGGTGACAATGTTACCCTGTCTGTGACTCTGTTTGACACAGAGACAAACTCCGCGATAGTGTGGGAGAAACAAGGTTCATATGACAAGTCGTTCGAGGTATTCGATATATCGTCTTCTGAGAAATACGATGGCGGTTCTCTGTCATCTCCCTCTCTATCTATGTTCAACGTGAACAAAGACGACTCTGGACATTATCGATGTAAGGTCACTAACATAGATGGGACTACTACAAGTGCATCAATAAAGATCAGCGTGGGACAAAAAAATTTGTTAAAAGGCGAGTATTAAAAAATTTTTTCGAAAGGAATCCAAAAGGAGGTTTCTTTAAAGATTTAATTTTAGCAAAAGTGTAAGAATGTGTATTTTTATATGGGATTTACAGAATCTGGTTGTGACCAGCTGATTTGTGGAGTCCTTAAGGAATGCTTGTATCATAACAACCAACCCTCATGTTCTGTGGTCACGTGGAAAGCAGCGGCTGCTGGTGTTGCTGGTGCTCTAGGGGCAGTTGCCACCATTGCTGTTGTTATGGTTGTGATAAAGTCTCTGTCAACTACCAAGTACCAAATAAGCACGTAAGGTTTATATGAAATGGCAATGTTCTAACATGAAACATATAGAGATAATGAAAAGTGTTCAAGATCAAAAATCCATAAATAAATACAACAAAGAAGCAGAGCAAGCACGGGCCTAAAAACATCAGAGGTGGGATCAGGTGCCATGAAGGAGTGAACATCCCATGCCGACCGGTCACACCCGCCATGTGCTCCTTGTCCTGATTGGGAAAAAACTCGTCGTTAGTTCAGTGTATAAAAAATGGATTAGCAATTAGTATAAAAAAAACGTTATTCAGCAATTGACTCAGTGATAAATTGTATTTGCTGATAAGGCCGAATTGTATCGATGACTTTAAACAAGACAGCTGATAGTCTTGTGTCATCAACTTGTTTGGCAATAATATTCCTCGTTTTTCAAATTATTCATACATAGAGCATGATCTTCTGTATCGAATTAACTGAGATATATAAACTCAGTATGCAGGTGGTACAGGTATATTGCTGCAATAAGTAAGGGAACTTGACGATTGTTTACGTTCATGACGTTTATCATAGAGCTTGATTGTTAGATTACCAGTTACGTCTTTTTCAAGTAAAATATCTAAAATGGAACCAATGTGTCAGACTATATGGTGTATTTTATCTCAAGCTCACCGGGATATTTCGTATCGAATAAGATGGAAATCACCATTGTCAAATGACAATACGTCGTCGATATATCTAAATGTCGAGTTGAAAGCCACTGCAAGTGTTTTCTTCTTTTCGCGTACAAGATTTTGGCCAAATTTTGCTTCATATGCATACAAAAATAGGTCTGTTATTAACGTGGCGCAATTGGTACCCATGGGAAATCCAATAGGTTGTTGGAAGACCTGGTCTCCAAAAACCACATAGATATTGTCAATCAGAAACTCAAGCATCTTTTTATGTCGACTTCAGAGTACTTGTATGTACAATCAGAATGTTTTTAACAAAATAATTTTGCAAATGACCAATGACAAGCTTTAAGGTAGTCAAATTTACGAGTTCCATTTTTATTGAAAAAGCAGCTGTCAATGATATCAGAAAGCCTGGACTTTAATTTATCGTGGGGAATGGTTTTGTATTAAGTTGAAAAGTCGTTTTTCAGCTGTTGATTTCGGAAAATCTTTCAAATTGTTAAAAATTTCTTTGGATTTTTTAAGTATTCACATTTGATTTACACTACTTCCTGAATATATTGTTGCACAGCACTCTTAAAGTTTCTCCTTCGCCACTTTAATATTTTAGTGAGGAGTAATAGAAAATAAAGATAAAAATTCCGTTCTTAAAATTGATTATTTATAACTTCTTTTTTAGGTCTGCTCTAGGCAAATTGATAGGCACCAACGCTGGCAACTACGAAAACTTCAACTCCGAATTCAAGCTAAGAAAATTTTAGCTAAGACTAAAAGGAGCATAACAAAACGAACCAAGAAAACTCCACTTAACTACCCGAATAGAGAGTAGGGCACACACAAATCATCGACCAGCATGTAGTACACAAAGACCTCTTCCTCAGATACATTTATTTTTTTTTCTCTTGGTAAAATGTATACATCGGTGTAAAGAATGTTAATCCCAAGAAATAGTCTATATATAATATAATGTGTAATTAACATGTGTACTAATTTGGTCTTAATTAAAAATACTAGTATAAATCATGTGGCAATTTTTTATGATAACCATTTATATAAGGAAGCTGTGGACCCTTTTACCAAAACATTTTAATTCGATTTTATTGTAAAAATATAACCGTAACTTACAGACTAAAAGTTATGAATTGTATTAATTTTTCTAATAAAAGCTTTGTCAACAAAATAGTTCTGTGGATCTTTTTACCAAAAAAAAAATTACAACATATTTTTATCTTACGATAAAAATCATTTTCATTAACTACAACTTTTTAATACAATACCAAAAATATGAATACAAAATATGTTTTTCACAATTGCCTTCCTTTCTTTGTTCAGTATATCCATTTTGAAAATGCACAATTAATTTCTCTGTAGAACTTTCTAGTCCTATGGAAACTCACCTTTGGAAATGTATGAGCTCAGTGTTTCCTGCTATATCTAATTTCTCTTAAATTCCATTTTATCTTCAGATAGACTTAGATTTCCTACTGTGCAAAGGCTTTGGGCTGCGTTATTAAAAATCTTCACAACTTTATTCTTACTTTCTACTTTCAAGGTTTTTTTCCCATGCATCAGCAGTAGCTGATTGAATCCAATACATTCAGTGGCAATTTCCTGCAGGGATGATGGATCCTGAAGGACTGATTAGGCATAAACGGATCCATCGAGGCAGATACTACTGCTGCTGGGATGATTTGGATCGTACAGGGTTGATACATGTATGGATAGTGCAAAGCTGACATGGATCTACGGGGTTGATACGGGATTTATATCACTTATTCACTATGGTGCCCTCTTAAACTAAACTTTAAAACAAAATTAATTTAAAATACTAGTAGTATTGGTATCAACTTGTTTTAAGATGTTTTAATTCATTTACTTGCCTAAGTAAGCATATTATGATGTTATATCTAAGTAAACAATAAATAAATATTATAATAAACATTAAAATATGCCCATGTCCATATCTCATATGTACTATATCAACCCTTGAGGTTAGACTCAGATAAACATCAATGATTGGTTATGAAACTAAAACTTACTCGTTTTCTAAAAATTTTTTTTCAATAAAAAAAAACCCTCATGCAAGTACTATTTATAATTTAAACAGTGAACCAGCATATCCTTGTCAATAATTAATAGTAAAATAGTTAAAGTGAAATGGACGAAAACAAAGAATGCCTTATTTATAAAAAAAAAAAAATCAAGTGATGGTAACCTAACGTAAGATATCTTGATAAGGTAGCCGTTTTAACTAGAAATGAAGTGACTCCTAAAAGTCCGTCTGTCAAAAATCATCCTACATGTACATATATGTGCAAAAATAAATATTGGCAAAACAATTTAGTTGGAAAAGATTTAAATCTCAAACCCTTCAAAGGTTAAAGTTTAATTTGTATTGTATTAAATTAATAAAACTAAGCTAACTCATGAAAAGAAACAGAATCTCAATCTAGAAAGAAATGCCAGTGGATCAAAGAATAAGCAAAAAGTTTTGTTAATCTGACATCATCATGAACTTCTGTCGACTTTTTATCTATTTCAACTACAACCAATAAATGGTAATGAAAGACATGCAAATAAAACTTTGTCATATAAGAAAACATCTGCAAAGCATGCAGCAAATGTGTCGTATGTATAATCGTCTATGTAGAGACATGCAGCAAATGTGTAGCAAAACAGTCTATGTACAGTTATATGCACATGGTCCCATTAGGCTTCAACATAATTATAGGGCCATGTATAGCTCATGATCAGGTAGGACGACATCCAAATTGAGTGGTACAAATATACAGTGATGGTTGTTGTCGACCCTGTAGACGTATCCTGTAGGGAAAAGGAAAAATATACATTTATATGAAGCAAAATTACTGGAGTATACTTGTACATATTACAATGTACATGTATATAAAATTGCACCTGTTAATTGAGAAAATGGATAATTTAAGTGCGGTAAGGGAACCCAAAGCAAGAGGCCCAGGGGCCACATCGCTCACCTGAGTTTGTTAGAGAAAAGAAGTTAAGTATTGAAAAATTTACATATAATTATGTGATCCACTCTACCCCACGAGAAACTTGAATGTACGCTAACTGAAGATGCTTCAGTCTATATCAAGTCTTCAGAACTTGTTTACTTTTTTGTTCCTATATATTCTCTATTTGTAAAAATAGATCTGATATTTTTTTTCCGCTACATAAATATCAATAATGATGATTTAAAAAAAAAATTTCAATGTACAACAATGTATTCTCACATTAATTTTGAATTTAAAATCACATATTTTGGCCCAACCCTAGCCCAGGGAGTGTGATACATGCACATGTATATCCAACTTCTACTCCATCTGCGGATTCTTTTTCATCAACTTTTCTGTTCTTGAGAAGAAAAATTTTTAAGACTTTTCTTATATATATATTCCTTTGTAAATCTAGATGCCTTTAGTAGTCCTATCCTAATCTCAGGGTTCATGATTGATTACTTGACTGATTGATTGATTGCAGATTTACGTCCCGTCCGAAAATGTTCACTCATTTTCCGGCCTACCGGCGAAGGGCGTCAACTTTAGACCTTACAAGGAGCTTAGGGTCATTGAGCAGTGAGGAATCTTTATCGTGCCAACGTCTACCCTGACACAGGGCCTCGGTTTTTAAGGTCTCATCCCAAGAACAGAGCATTTACTGAGTTTACAGACGACAGAAGGGCGCCAGACACGCTTCGATCAGAAAATCTCACGTCTACCTTCGACTCAGATAAACCTATTAATATTAGAGTAAAGTCTTGAAAGTTTACAATATACATGGTCCACAGAGACAACAAAAATCCTATTTAGGTACTTTTCATCCTCTTTTACATTTGAACATTATAAGTGATATCTTAGTGACGGAACTAACATTCTTGAAAACGGGGTGGTGGTGGATAAAGGCTAGGGGTTACCGGTAAGTAAAGTCTAGGTGGGATCACGGGTGAATTACATCGGTAGATTAACTCACCAAAATCATTCTCCTCTTCCGTAGACGCAAAAAAAAAAGAAATTCAGGTCTTGTTTCTTGGAGACTTCATGACGTCTCTGTTCCG